TATTTTAATTTATGCATAAAATCCCGTTGTACCACTGAGATCATATGATAAATGATCGACATACACTCTACCCTTAAACCCGGAAAAAATTATAATTTATGCTAAAATTTTGCAAGGAATCTTTTTTGTTAGAACCCGGAAGTGTGCTTTATAATCAAAATTTTGAGATATTAAGAAAATGGCTAAAGCCATGTACCCACGTGATTTTGACGGTTTAATCGTTTTAAGGTTAGGATTAGGGTTAGTTTGGTGTTGTTATAAAAAAAAGATATAGGTAAAATTGCCTTCCCGACATTTTTAATTAGTGCCCCAAGATAGGTTGAGACTGCTGTTTTTCGTCTTTTTGCGTTTTTATTTTATGATTTCTTCGGGCTGATCAGTGTAAACAAAATTTCGCAATTCCGGTTGGTTGATTTACACAAAAAGTCACGTGGGTACATGGCCATTTAAATATAGGCCCCTAAAAAAATCCGAAATTAATGATCTTCGAGGCGCAACCCTAGTGTAATCCGACAGATCTCGGAATTTTGCACAGAATAGTTGTGTGAAGATGCCATATAATTTTAATATACCAGTACATACTATAATAAGTTCGTGAAAATCAACCTACAAATTGAGAACCATGAGGCGAACAGAGCATCATTCGAGGCCACATTACAATTACCAAACACAGCAACAATATTATACACAGCAACAGTATCAAACTCAAGAATCTCATTCGGTCATACTGGTAACTGCTGGTTATGATCATACCATTCGTTTTTGGGAAGCTTTGAGTGGTATTTGCTCTAGAACTATTCAACACCCTGATTCGGTGAGTGCGGTAGTAATCAGGAAAAAGGTTTAACAATCAAAAGTTAAACGATTTATTTAACTACAGCAAGTCAATAGACTATGTATTTCTCCAGATAAAAGGTACCTTGCGGCTGCAGGTATGAGATTCTTTTCCATATTTCTAGCAATTTTTCAAGGCTTTACCAAAACTAACAAAAAATGTCTAGGAAACCAACATATTCGACTATATGACATTAACAGCTCTAATCCGAATCCGGTAAATTTCTGAATGATCCGTCCGGTTCGTGCCAAGTCGTTTGTTCTTTTTGTGTTGATTTAAGTTATTTCACTTATCAGATTACTTCCTTTGATGGTCATGTCGGAAATGTAACAGCCGTTGGATTTCATTGTGAAGGAAAATGGATGGTCACGGGTAGCGAGGATGGTACTTTGAAAATTTGGGATACAAGGTATATATATATATATACTTAATTTGAAAGTATTAATCTGTTTAATAGATCTACAAATAATTTTTTTTTTAAAAAAAAAAAAAAATTAGAGCGCCGTCAATTCAGCGCAATTATGATCATAAAGCACCTGTTAATGATGTAGCAATTCATCCTAATCAAGGTGAATTAATTTCCTGTGATCAAAAGGGAAGCATAAAAATTTGGGACTTGGGAGAAAATTCTTGTACGCATGAATTGGTAATATTACAATAAAATTCCATGATTTCTACTTTTTATTTGTGGTCTAATTATATATTTAATTAGATCCCTGAAGAAGATATTCCGATGCGTTCAGTTACTGTTGCAATAGACGGTTCAATGCTTGTCGCTGCGAATAACAAAGTGCCTAGTTTATTCGTATATTATATCTTTTCAATATGATATTTATATTAGTTTACTAATAAAATCTTTCACAGGGTAATTGTTATGTGTGGGAAATGTCCAATAATAGGGATTTTACGGATTTAGAGCCACTTACAACATTTTCAGCACATAAGAAATATATCACCCGATGTTTATTGAGTCCAGACGTTAAGTATGTCTAAGACCACTACTTTTTTAATAAACGGATTTTATCTTTTATTGAAGATATTTTTGTAATAGGCATTTGGCAACGTGTTCTGCAGATACAACGGTTAAAATATGGTCTACTGCTAATAATGAATTTGAATTGGATAAAGAACTAAAAGGACATCAACGATGGGTGTGGGATTGCGCGTTCTCCGCCGACTCTGCTTATTTGGTCACTGGTAAATTAATATTTTTCATTCATTTAGTTTACCTATGTAACTTGACTAATATATTATTATTTTTTTTTACTTTATTTTAATAATGTTCACAGCATCTTCTGATCATGTGGCACGCCTTTGGGAGTTGCAACAAGGTGAAACCATAAGACAGTATAATGGACATCATAAAGCTGCTGTTTGTGTAGCATTAAACGATTTATCAATTGGAAGTTGAGAATTTCCCAGATTTTGGAAAGCCAAAGAATTTTTTATCGTTTTGTGTATAATCTATCAGGACCAACTTACCTTATTATAAAATATATAGTTATTTTTAAAGTTTTGCTAACCTAACTATACCAACTTAACTGTGTAACATATACGGGCGGCTTTGCATTTTTATATTTATTTAAGGTATAAATTTAATTGGCCAATTTAAAGATTTCAATCATGTCATAATTCTTTATCGTTATGTTATAGTGTGTTACGTAATGATTAACAAACTGCTCATGATTAGTGATAACAATTGCATAGCGATAGGTTTATACGAATCCGCATATAACCGCCTGATTTTATATCGTTATTGTTTCCGCGACAGTATTATAATAAATAAATAACTTAGACTGGCAGATCGAAAAAGGACAGCGTATTAGAAACCTCTGGACCTATTTTTCTTTCGCACTTTTTCGCAAAAAAAAAACCTATAATATACATATACTTCAGTACAAGAGAACGTGTTAAAAAAATCGTTTAGTCATGTCAGATCAACCCTCAGAATCGAATACTGGTGGTAATAACCCTGGAAGCAATCGACAACAGTTCTATTGTCATTCATGTCATAGAGCTATAGAGCCTCTGAGAGCTCCAGAACTTACTTGCCCCCACTGCAATGATGGGTTCGTGGAAGAGGTTGATTGATTTTCTTTCGCGATTCTTTAAAAAAAAAAAAAAAAATAGTATAAAATAAATGAAACAAACGTTTTGTTTATCAACTATCGCTTTTAACTCGAACAGTTTGAAAAGAATCATTTTTAAAGTACGTAATTTTTTTTATTCTTTCTAATATTGGGATTAGATTGGAGAAAACGATCCAAGGGATTTTGAACATGGTATGAGTCACGAGACGGACGAAGAATATGACGATAATATGACTTTTACAGCAACAGGAAATCCACCAAATGGAAATGAAGTCGTACAACTTATTCAGAATATGCTCCAATCATTTCTTCAAGCTGGAGGACATAATAATGTTCGAGTACTGCAGACGGAAACCAGTGGACACGGGAACACTACAACAACAACAATAACAGCACAAACAACAGGAGAAGATCAAGAAGGTCAACAACGTCCGAACTTTATCTTAGCAATGGGTGGCGGTAGCGCAGATATCGGCGACGGTCGAGCTCCTCTTCAAGGTTTTGCGCAGTATGTTTAATTCTCAATTGATCTTTTTTTATGTACAGTATTAACCTGTTTGTGTAAATTCTGGCTACTCGAGTTAATAATGTTAACTGTTCAAAATAAAAATAATTTCACATAGCGTTTCATTCATTATTAATAATATTTTATTTGTAATTTTAGAATATTCGCAAGAGCATTAGACGGTCAAAACAATGCGGCAAATATTTTTAACTTATTTAACTTAAACGGAGATCCCAGAGATTATGCTTGGGGTTCTACAGGATTTGATAATATTATTTCGCAATTGATGGAACAGCAAGCTGGGTAATTAATATGAAATTTTTGTTTGATCTCAGTTTATTTAAATTTCTCATGAATTCGATTTATATGTTGGAATAGAAGGCAAGCACCACCACCCGCAACTGAAGAAATCATTAACAATATACCAAAGACGAAGATTACAAAAAAGCAAGTCGGTTAGTGTAACTTAGTTAAAAACTTTAAAAACTGAAAATGATATGATATAAATTATCATAGAACCTGACTCTAGCTAACGCTAATGTATTTTACAGCCGAAGAGCAATTGGGGTGTCCTGTTTGCAAAGATGAATTTATAGTAGATGAAGAGGTGTTAATTTTGCCTTGCACCCATTCTTTTCATAAGGATTGCATAACGCAATGGTTAAAAGTTAATGGAACTTGCCCAGTATGGTACTATAATTTATACTTAATCAGATTGCTTGTGTACATACATATATATCAATAATATGTTAATCATTTTATTTGGGTTATGTTAGTCGGTATTCATTGGTCAGTCAGGAAAACAATCAACAAAATGATCAAAATCGCAACAATGGTGCCGGATCATCGAGTAACAATCAAAACAACGGACCATCTACATCGGCATTTCGATTCACATCCAGTTCTTCACTTCCTGGAGCATACCCTGGAAGTCAATCAAACAATGGCCAACAAAATCGACAGCAGGATCGTGATAATCATGATTCAATGGATTTAGATTCCGAACCTTTGGATTAATCACGGTTAGTAAGGATTGGAAAGGTTATTGCAAACTGTATTATATTGAATAGACGGACTGTTCACTTTTGCTACTTAACAACGCCGTGTGCCAATTATATCTTAATCTTTTTTCCTTACCTTTTCTTACAACGAACATCCTGCAAACTATTAGCAGATGATCGTACAAATACATTTTCGAAGCACCGAAAATTTTGATGATTTTTTCACTATATGTGCAAGACATTTTTTTTTCAAACTTATAGCCAAAATATTTCTAGTGTTATTTGACCTTTTCATCTCCTTTGAATTTCCATGTATAACTATGTTGGATGACTATAAATGGCAATTCTTTAAATACTTTACATTTAAAATTACAAAAAAAAATGACTATTTACAGAAAAGTAGTAATTCAATCAATTAAATCATTGTGTGCATGACACAGTATTCGAGATTTTTATTTATTTATTTTATTTTATTTTATTTTATTTTTCTAAATTTGAGTTCATACATGTAACATTTTAATGAGTTTACTATTTTAAATTTTTCTTAATGATTATTTAACTTTAATTGTTGTATCTTGACTTTACACTTATCATCTATATACCAATTTACTAATATTATTTTCATTTTACAGCTTCTCTAGTCATTTAATAAATTCGAAGTCATCCCGTAGGAAATATGATGTACAAATGATAATATTTACCTAAGGATAGTGATTAATCAGAAAAAACACCTATTTGTAATATAAAAAAGCTACACAATTTGATAAAATAATAAAAAAGAAATAAACAGCTTTTTCAATAAAAAATAAAAATATAAGTTATGCTTAAATATGATGCCTAATACAAAATTCACTAATTCTGCCATATGCCTCCTTTAATTTTTCCGGAGGTGGTGCAATAACTATTCGTACTAAATAAAGTTAGAAATTGTTTGTTAGGCAGTGAAACGTAATACGTGATATGATGATCAACATGCTTAATTGCTTACTGTAATTAGGATAATGGAAACACTACATTATGAAAAATTATTGACTTAGTTCACACTATCCGTTTACATAATCCTTTGCCATTCATATAATAAATGTGAAAAAGAACTTACCCTGCCAGGTAAACACATAACAGATTCTTCTTCAAGTAATTTCTCAGTAAATTCCAAATCATCCTTGATATCTTTAAACTCTTCGACATTAATTCCAACCATCATATACATTGCACCTTGTGGTACGATTACATGTAATCCTCGAATTTTTGATAAAATATCAGCAGAAATTGAAGCATTATGTTCTAATTTATTATTTGTATCCTCATAAAATTCATTGGGTGTATTAAAAATAATATCAGGGATAGAATATTGGATTAAACTGTTTGCGCCTAATATAAGATTTGAGAGTGAAAATAAAGCATCACGAATTTCATCCAAGATTCCATTTTGATCATAAATAAAAACCCAACCAACTCTCCACCCAGGCACAAGATAACGCTTTGCTAATCCACTGACTTTCAAGATCGGAACGGATTTTGTTAATGAAGCGATAGGGAAGAACTTT